ATTTGTAAATAAGTAAATAGAATGCTATAAAACTCACACACTCTCTCTCATTTGTTAATGAGCGACTCCTTCCATACGATCGGAGGGTTGTAGAAGAGGAGGGAGGGGGATTAGAAAATTTTCTTTTATATCCCGTATCAAAAGTTCTTTAGAATAAAATCACATTTTAGAATCTTAAAAAAATATCTCCTTGGGGCTTCCATGTCAGGATAAAGGCGTCGACTCCCTTTACCTGATGTGTAGCTGGGTTTACATTAGTATTACTATAATCTTTATGATACAAACTATATACAGAAAGGAAAAGGAAAGGGGGGAAGAGGGAACCGTCTCCTGACGGCGGGCGGAGGTCACTGCCAGAGGTTCGTTATCTTAGGCCAACCTCCATCGCGAGCAGCTGTTGGGTAATAGCTGCGTCCCGACAAAGGTCTATTTCGCTTAAAAGTAACTAAAAAATCTGGGAACTCTTACACTAGGCTAATTAGAGTCGACAAAACCAAACATGACTTTTGCATTTGACTGCGATACTTCCTCCATAACTTACGCGTGCAAACCGTAATACCTGTCTTTACAATACTCCCTGAAATTGTGGTCACACCATTTAAAAAGCTTTACAAACTCCTAGAAAGTTGAGTAGTGAAATCAGCGCACGTAAAATCCCTGGCAAACCTCTTTTCAGGTCTTTTGGAAATTTTTTTTGGAACACGACTATCCACAACGATTCTGTAAGCCAAAATTTCCTACCACAATCCGACAGAAATTTAGAGCGATCGATGGTTCGCTAGTAAATGATCAGGGATAGAATGAGCATATGACTTTGTACAACACTGCAAGTTAAGTATGAAATGAATGTAGATGCTCGTACGTATACTCTCAACCGCAGGATGTCCTAGGCTGCTTTGGAGCTGAATGGAAATGAATGAAATAGTAATGAGTGTTCGCGGAATACTTGTAAATCACCTTGAAATAGTTTTTCTCATAGCCTTTGTAAAAATTGTTTGATATGGATCTGTACGTGTTCAATCAATCTTTTTTCGTATCTATTCATGCTCTATTGTTTAGCGACTGCAGCACTGACTATCCAAATCTGTTATTATATCATAACTGAGTCGCTCATACAAAGCCATTGCCACTCATGTCAGTACTCTCTGATACATTTACTAAGTTCTTCTGAAACGTGTTAATAACAAAAGAGCTAATCCATTGTCCTGATCAGTATGCAGTCCTGCACATGAAAGTAACATAATCAATGCATTTCTCCGGTTTTCATTTTCTGCGACATAATTAGTGGCTGGCATATCTATGAAACTTGGTTGTTTTGTACGCAAAAGTTCAGCTAATTCTTGAACAATGCAACTACGTACAGTGTTGTGTTTGCAATGTTTGGCTTTGTGCATACATGAGCAATAAAATGGCTTAACAAGCTTTATAGATGCCTTTCCTAGACAAAGTCTTTCTATAAGCTTATGTTCAAAAGTTCTATTTGATTGTAGTCATCGTATCTCAGCTGCGTCCATTGACTAACAGTGTCGACGACGCAGTTGAGATACGAAGACTACAAACACATAGAGTGCCTTTTTTTGAAAGCCGCAGCTTCCACCCAAATCCACCCAAGGAAAGATCAAACTACAGGAGATTGCAATCGCAGTGTCACGGTCGGCTCGGTTCGGGTCCTCGCGAGCCGCCTCGCTTGGAAATCTAGCCGCGTTCGCTTTTACAATTAGTGCAGCATGCAGTAACATCCCCGCCGGGTAAGGATGTCGCGGCTCAAAAAAAGCTTTATACCCTGAAACTCGAGTCAAAATTTCACGCTGTCTATCCATTCGTGAATATTCCTACTACCCTTCACTGTAAACATATTGAACCAGAAGCATGATTTTGTACAAACTGCGTATTCCAGCTTTTTGTATGATCTCCTGGCGATCTCGAGCGGCAATTTTTTTCTTCAAAGTACTTTTTCTTTCTTTTAAATTAGCGAAAACCTTCAAAGTTTCACTGTTTATTACAAAGGCTAAAATCATAATCTTTTACTTATGCCTAACAGGTTTGTTATGGCGGTATCTTTACGAATGGCCTAACGTTTTGGCGCGTTCGCCGTCCTCAGAGGCCGAAAAACGGCACAAATCATCATCTAAGAGACCAAAGCATCAAATGTCGCTTCTAGGTTTGGTAGACCTCTTAGTTCAATCCGCGAGAATCTCCCCAAAACCGAGATGAACCCACTTACGTCACCGCTGTATGAAGTGTCCGCTCCGGAAGAATATGACAGTACGACGGAAATTATGCGGCAAAAGCGAACAATTGAGTTATAGTGTGGAGGGCAGATAAAGATGTATCTTCGGAAGCAGATAAAGTCTATCTATCCTATAGCTCACATAATGCTATGAACGGCAGGAAATCGGCAGTGATGGACAGGCACTCGTCCTTGTTATTCATTTCTGGACTCTTTGCCGAGATCCAGAAAGCCTCTAACGCCTTTTTAGCCGAGATCACGTTATCGTGTGTCAAAATCGTGCATTTAATTTCGAAGTCCTTTCCATCATATGAGTCATTCCTATGCCTACCCAGCGGTGTCATTAAAGACAGTGTCACACCAGACTGGGGGTATTTGGCTCCCGTAGTCATGTAATAGTAGCCCCCCCCCCCCTAGCTAATCGATGTCTGAAGTTCGGAGCGAAAAAGGGGGTCTACCAAGCCTAAAATTTGCCCCGGAAGTGGGCCGAATCTTACGGTAGGCTCGGGCGATTACGAGATGGATGCAAGGTAGAGACGCAGAGTTGTTGGGTCCCTGCGCTCATGACTGTGTGCGTTATACGCAATCTGGCCTTGCAATCGATATTACTGTGTGGGTGGCATTCGGCCCTACCGTAAGATTCGGCCCACTTTCGGAGCAAATTTTAGGCTTGGTAGATCCCCTTTTTCGCTCCGAACTACAGACATCGATTAGGTAGAGGGTCTACTATTACATGACTACGGGAGCCAGATACCCTCAGTCTGGTGACACTGCCCTTTCAGCTTTTCCGTCTCTTGCTGCCAGACGTTGTTTAGTTCGCACGCTTAGTACTCTGCCAGTTTCACGACATACAGTGCGCTGCAATCAAGGCATTTTGTTGTACAATCCCTAGCGAGCTTAGTGATATATTAGGTTGTCCCGAAAGTTTTGTCGGTTTTTTTCATCGCTCACTAAAACCCAAAGAACACCAATTTATGAGCAAGCTAGGTACCGCTTGACTCAGATTTTTATCCTCTTTCATACTGCTATATTTTCTCTCTGATCTACCTTGTCTTTGCAATGCAATCGCCATGGTTTTCTGAGCAGCTCAGCAGTAATGTCGAATTTTCCCTGAATTTCAAATTTTTTTATACTGATGTTTTCAAAGAGCGCTGGTCACTGTTATGTAGAGCAAACCTTTGCATACATTGTACTTATTCTAGATTACATTGATCACGTTTACCAAGTCCGTTATAATTAATTATTTAGTAAAAACCGCGACTTTTTGATTACATTTACCACGTAAAAGTGCTGAAAATTCCAAAAAGCTGCTTTCTTAAGGCAAATCAAACTTGATCATTTTGCATAAATAATGTTCAATGAGAATCATTTTTTAATTCGCAGAAACTTTGAAAACTTCCGTGTATTTGCTGCAGTTGCTTGTTTCTTAAATTTGCCAAAAATCGAGACCTCTTAAGAAATAATTTATTCCAACCTAAAAACAGTAGATTAGGAGAATGTAAAAATACGATCTTGTAGACCGAGAATTGCTCTATTAGAATCATACTTAACCATTGTAGAAACTTTAGTATGAAATTTTTAAAAATTAGCCGAACTTTGAGCAGATAAAATTGACGGATGGAGAATTTTAACAAATATGGAAAAAAGCATACAAGATTGTGGCTCGACAATATATCCATAGGAAAGAGAAGAAAAAGCTGCATCGAATGCATGTTAAAACTCATTCAGATGTATATTGTGCATGGTTTTATAGTGGTTTGAAAAAACCGACAAAACTTTCGGGACAACCTAATACATTTTGATCAAAATTAATCAAGCATATCTCGCAAACATTGGTATTTAGGTTCATTTTGTATAGTGAATTCCTTAATATACTGAAAAGTGAGTGAGTCTGATTCTGAGTCTTGTAAATGTATATAATTGTTAAGGAGACATACTTGGGCCTAGAACCTTCTGTCTTTCAGCTCCTCGCTAAAGTCGGAGAAACATCATATTTACAATAATAGCCGTCATACGAACGCAACAAAATTTTGAGCTGATTTACCTCTAAACCTTTCGAAAGCTAAATGCGAAATTGAGCTGAAGGCTCGTTTGAGGAAAACAACTTCTTTCAAAGCTCTCGCTTGTTAATGATTATCGTTTCGCTACCATGAGTCTTTTGTGATCCAACAAACCGCTTTCTTGGGCGGCTGAGCTGTGCCGAATCTGCCTCTCGAACGGGTATAGAATCGAATAACCCAGTCAGGCACTGCCTTCGCAGACTGCTATTCCTCGCTCTACCGATGTACTCGTATGAAGACCAGAAGTCCGCAAAGGCGGTGCATAATTGAGGTAGTCATACCTCTATAAGCTCCTGCAAGACGAAGGCGGTCGATTCAATGCGCAACGCGGCTGCGACATGGCTGCGTCACAGCCGAGTCACAGCCGCGTCACAGCCACGTCGTATCTCGAACCGACCGCCTTCGTCTTGCAGGAGCTTATACCTATTTCTAAGACAATGTTTATCCTTTCGCTGCAGTGCTAGGATGCCCTTAGTAAAACGAAGATTCTCTACAGTATTGCCTCTGGATAGCAACCCCCTCGAACTCTAATCGAAATCTTATTACCATACAACAGCGCTGCCAAAGCTGTTACTTCGGCTGCAATCAAGTGTGAACTTTTATATGTAGCCGAGCCTTCGCAGTCCCTAAAAACTTTTGCAACCAAATTGGACTTGCTCGTAAGAGAGAGCGGAAATGTTACCAGCGAAACGTTTGCAATATCCTGTAACATGACTCGTCAGTTACAGGAGTCAGTAACCTATTTTGGCACTGCACGTATGCAGTTGTTCTTCCAACCAAACCACATAATTCTCTCAAATCAGACAACGTTGAGCATTTGCCTTACCAAAACCGATCGCATTCATGTTGAGGAAATGGAGTGGAGGCTTTTCTACTTGAAGTGGACTGTTGCCATAATAATCGTGTACGAAATTGACGGACGTATCACAGACTTGACGTGTACTGAATTTCTGAGGAAAAGTCATAGAGTAAGTGAGCGATGTGTTGCTATTGTTGTATAGTGGTGTTATAATTTTTCAGTTCTCGGAAAGGGCAGTAAATTGCAATGATCGTTATCCTGAAAGTCTTTGTCTCTTCTTGTATTCGTCAAAAGTCATACAAGGAAGTAATCGTGAGAGAAATGCTAGATGTTTCCGTGTAAGTTTCATTGATGGTTCAAAGAGCTGCCTTTCAAAACAATCTCAACCTGAAGAACCCAAAGACGGGGCAGGTAGATGACGATTTGGTGCATATGGCTATAAAGAATTGTCCGCGAACTTGCGGATATTGTTGCAAAACTCCTGAATACGATTGCAATAATAAAGAAAGTAGGTTATACGCATGAATAAACTTTCGTCGCGTGTACGCTTTAATTGCAGATGCGCGCATAAATTGTGCAATGGTGACGAGGAAGCAATGTAAGAGCCTACTCTGGCGTCCAATACTCATTGAAGAATGTCCTAATGTGTGTGGACTTTGTACAGCCTGTACGTTACTGCTTACTGAAGCTTCTGTAAGTTATCATTGCCTGAAAGCGTAGCAAATGGGAATATGTCAGAGGTACAGGACTAATCCTCAGACATCTCCTTAATAAGATGTTAGGTGTCCCAAAAGTATGGATACACTGTTCGATCATTGATATCTCTCTTCCGAAGGAATCACTTGTTCAAAACGAGAGACATTTCGTAGAGCTGGCTCAATTTAGACTTATGGTATGGAGCGAATTACCGATCGCTGTTCATGATTGTGGGATTACATTAAGAGATTTGAGGAAGGTTTTGAGTTGTCAAGGTCCACTTTACCATTAGAAGGGAACCACATAAGCCAAAAATCCTGCAATGGATTATCGAAGTCATTGATTCGAAACGAAACTCGCACTTTACCGTAGTGCTTCTTTAATAAGCTATGCCAGACATACCAAAAAACAGTTTTTAGATTTTTTTTCAATAATTTAGATACACCACTTCAAAAGCTCTGAAAATTTGTATAGTGTCGTAAGTAAAAACGCGTGCGTGAAAACTTTGTTACACAATTTTCCAAATTTTTTCGAGTCTTTTTCATCAAATGGCCTATCAATGGCGACATCTGCTGAGTTTCTAACGTAATCTTATAGTAACTGAGAGCTTTTGGCAAATTTCCCCATACTGTGAATCTAAGTAAGTTGAAGCTAGGTTTACAATTAGGTACCTGAAAGTAGGCAAGAGACTTCTTAGAAAGGGAGTTAATAACGATGTGTATACATACTTTTGGGACACCCTGTACTACGAACACCTATAGGGCATTTACGTTGTGCATTTATGCCTAATGTTTACCTCTGCTTTTGGCACCCCTGAGCAGTATTCGTCTACATACTGAGAAAAGTTTGGAGCACGAATGAATATCAGTTGAACTTTTCTCAGAACGTTTGGGTACCACAGAAATATTAGGTTGGCGCAAAAGTAATGCGCGCCTTGCGACTTCTCATACAACGTGCTGTAACTTTTCAACAAATCTACATTTTCCAATGCGATAAAAATCTGAGGCAGCAAACCTTTCGCAATACAACGCACATCCCCTTTTACTCACATCACCAACGCGCAGAAAGATATGGATTAATAAGCAAAAATATCTCTGGTACCCTGTTTTCAGCTGGTCGTAACTCCCTTCAAAATTTGCTAGTTTTGATGTAGCTTACCTTGCCGCAAGTCATGGTCACAAATGAAGGTGAAAAGGGCTTGGAAGAAGAAGGTTTGCAGAAAGAAAAAAAAATTAAAAAGCAAAATCGTCAACTTTTCTCAACATTCTTTCATGGTCCTTGGAGTCCCAAACTACGAAATTTTCGGATTTTCTGCGTACGGATATTTTTGCAAAAAAGTTTCAAAAGAAGGCCCTACCCTCACACTTACAACGAGAAAATACACGCGCTTTACTTTTGCACCAACCTAATAATTCAGTATTTCTCTCAGCGTTGTACAGCATTCCGTGGCGTATAATCAAAAGCTTGAATGACTTTAGTCATATATTAGTCTTGAAGATGTATGAGAGATGGGATGCTGCTGACAATTTGTACACCTTTAGAAAAGTACTTTAAAAGTTTTCGACTACTTTTCTCAAGTATTGTATTAGGTTGTCCGGAAAATAATGGCGCATCGTGCTTTATCCTGCAATATCGCAGCAGGGTGCGCACGAAAGTAAGTGGGTGGGATATCAACCGATAGATCAGAGCAAGCTCTACAAAATGAAGCTCGAACCTTCTCGCCGGTTCGATTTGCGTGAAATTTGGAGCCAAATTTCATAAGGCACTAAAAATCTAAAAGAACGAAAAAGATTGTATCTCCGTTCAAAAAAGTCCTGGGAACCCCTAACTTGCTCACGCATGGACTCACTATACGAGACACTCGTATGCACATTTTCGCGGTTTTCCCATGGCTGAAAATTGAGAAAACGAAATTCGGCATGTTTTTGCCAAAGCGATCCTGAGCTTCTCTCACATGAATGATTCTTTAGTATGAACCTTTAGGAGTATAACCATGAATTTTCAGCTCTAGACAAGCGCTAGTTTTCGAGAAAAATCAAACTGTTTGCAAAAAACCCGAAAAACGCCACATATTCGCACTTTTGACCTATTTTTGTTTGTCCTACTGTAGCCACGGAAAAATTTTCACAAACTACACAGGTGAATGTCTAGTGTGGAGAGTACATGCCTGTGCAAATTGGAGATCCCTAAGACGTCTATGCACGGAGATACGATTTTTTGCGCATCTGAAATTTCTTATATTTTGGATTCGAACTTTATACGGAGCAAGACTTCGGTGGAGCTTTGTAGACTACCTTGTAGTGCTTGCTTTGCTCTATCAAATGCTACCCCGTTCGCTGTTTTTTGTGGTCATTCTGTCGCGGTAGGATGCCATGCGACATTATTTTCCGGACAACCTAATATTTGCAGTTTTGCCCAATTGCCTTCTCAAACAAGAAAATTCCAGCTTCTCAAAAAAAGTATCATGACTTTTTGGAGCATGTGCAGTTGTTTTATGCTTTATCTGCATCTATCACAGAATCACAACAATAAGGGACTATGTGAGAGTCACAAGTAAAGAATCGGAGTTACCAGAGTAAAACAAAAGTTTGCATTGTAGTAAATCAGATCATGCGAGCATTCTAAGGTTCATTTATAAACTCGTGACGATTTTTTTGACTGCGGTCTTTGCGCTCACAGGAGCCTAAAACCTCCTACAAAAAGGTATCACCTCAGCGCGCAGCTCAATCGCTTCCAGTGTCCAAGTCCAAGTACTATCTACCTAAGCAGAAAAAATACTTTGACCTTTACCCAAAAATACATGCTGTAACTTGGCAATTTCAGCTCGCTAAAAATTTCTACATTTCAGACGTTTGCAAAGACTATGCTCCGAATTGCAAGGCCCATCCAGAAGTATGCATGCACTCTTCGTTGCAAAGCTTTGCGCAGGTTAGTGTTGATAAAGCTTCTAAAATTCTTCTCACAACCTGTTGTTCATTATGCCTTGTTCAAAAACAAATTTTCAGAAATATTGTAAGAGGACGTGCGGATATTGCGCAAAGTCTGTGATCACCACAACTAGGACATCCTTTGAGGCACTGAGCACAATTGCCAAGGACTCACAAGCATCCGAGCCTTCAGTACTTCAAGAAACGACAACTCTCTTCGACACAGCATCTGCGCTCGTAAGCGCGACACCAACAAAGAAAGAAGCAAATATGATGATGAGCACAAATGAAGTCTTAGATGTAGAGTCATTAGCGACATTTACAGTACCAACCGGAGAGAAAATCACTGCCTCATTGCCAACAATATCGAAATCTTCTGCCGTACAGTCAGAGATGCCGAACGCAACATCATCGCTAAAACCTTTACAGAAATCAAGCACGACAACATCCGATTCTTTGCAGGAGCTCACGCAAAAGAATATCGCAGTGGAGACAAAAGAAACAGTTTCTACGCCTTTGGCTTCTTTACATACGAGAACCACCACAACAGCTGAAACTCATAGGGCTTTACAGCCAAAGTCAACCACAGTTACCACAGAATTGCAAATGACTCAGTCTTCATACGTTCCAGAGATGTTGAATACAGTTGAAGCGAGTTCTCAGAGATTCACGATAATGGAGACTAAGAAGGGAGTAGTTGGAAAACTGTCAGACATCTCGAGCGCAAGCGGAAAGGCGCCTATTACGACAACGAGTATGAGTGCATTGTCAGGAACGCTAGAATCATCCATGTATACAAAAGACGAAATCAGAGAAACATCTACTATGAAACCAGCTTTGACAGCTGTAAACATCAGATCGACCGCCTCTTGTACGGAAGCAGATGCAGAGAAGTGTAGAAGTATGACGGCAATCACGTCAAGCACTACAACTCAATTGGAGGCTTCCTGGGTAAGGGTGATGGCAGCTGATGAATTATCGGAAGCAGCAAAAGCAACATCCTCATCTAAAGTCACGTTATCAGATTTAACTATTACCAAAAGAACAACAGCCCGTGGTGCCCCATCAAATGGAGAAGAAGTAATTTTTTCTAAAGTTTTTGTACCAGAGCCATCTACAGTAGGAGATATGCAAAATACAACTCCAACAAGCTTGAATATATCTACATTTGAAGAATCCGGGTCACCGAATAATACAAGAGATGCGAGATCTACATCCCAAGTGGAGACTATTACATTACCATCTCCAAAATTCACACCCACTGCGGCAACACCATCAGCAACAGCATCTAATGCCTCACCTATGACTACGACCACGAAGTCACCACGGACTTCAAAAAGCTCAACAAGAAAAACGCCAGCAGCTAGACCCGTCTTGCCAGACTCATCAAAGCCGATTACGAAAGCAACGGTAGCTTCCATCTCAAGAAAGTCACCAAAAGCAACAACCGATGCACCTACAACCATCCTCCAATCCACATATAGAGTGCCAGCCAAGACGTCAGCGGTCTTGTCTACCCCTCACGTGTCAGAAATGGAGATAGTTCAGGAAACCTCCACAAAATCAAACATTACAGCTCTTCTAGGATCGTATACATCTGCAGCAACGACTCTCCTATCGCAGCAGCAGACTACGCTAAATATCTTCGCAGAAAAGAAGGCAAGCACCTCAAACGCAGCCGTCACTGATTCTAGCACCTCGCACAAGTATTCGGCCTCGGAGTCAAGCAGTGTTGCAGCCACTATGAGCACAGCAGCCACAAATCTCACCACTCCTCAGGGAAATTATTCCGCTATAGAGTTAAGCATTGCTGCAAGCACAGAAAGCGCAGCTACCACAAATTCAAGAACTCCTTCGTTTGGGCGTTCTGTTACGGAGTCAAGCAGTGTTAAAAGCATTGTAATCCCAGCAGCGATAAGTTCCACCACTCATTCTCGTAAGCATCCCTCTAAGGAGTCTAGCAATATTGTAAGCACTAAGAGTACAGCAGCCATGGATACCAGCACTTTTGTTCACAAGCAATCCCTAACAGAGTCGAGTATTGTCACGATCACTAATGGCACAGTAGCCACTGATTCAATTAAATCAAACAAGCATTATTCCACAACGGAGTCAAGCGGTGTCACAAACACTAAGAGCACATCAGCCGCTGATTTTAGCACTCCTACAAAAAAATATTCCATCACTAAGTCAAGCAGCATCACAAGCAGTACGAGCAGAACAGCCACTATTTCCACAACTCATTCGCTTGAGTATCCCGATGTGGAGTCTAGCAGTGTCGCAAGCATTAAGAGCGCAGCAGCCACGGATCAGAGCGATCCTCCACAAAGATCTTACATTACGAAGACAAGCACCGTTGGAACGAGCATAGCACCAACTGCTTTTATCACTACAGACACAGCAGCCACTAACCCTAGCAATGCTCCACACCGGTACTCCACAATAAAGTCTACCTCTACGAGCACAACCACTGACTCCAGCATTTTTTTCTGTGAGTATTCTGATACGGAATCAAGCAGTTCTGCTAGCACTACAAGCAGAGCATCCACACATCCCAGCTATCGTCCACAGAGTTATTTCGCGACAACATCCAACAGCGTTGCAAGCACGAGCACAGCAGCTACCGACTCTAGCACTTATTCGGTCGTAAATTTTCATAGGGAGTCAAGCAGTGATGTGAGCTCTAGCGGCATAATCTCCAGTGACACCAGCATTCATCCATTTAAGTTTTCTTCCAAGGAGTCGAGCGGTGCTGCAAGCACTGTGATCAAAACAGGATTAGATTCCACCACCCCTCAGGACAAAGTACCTTTTGCAGACTCAAGCAGGGTTGTAACTACTACCAGCACAGCAGCAACTGATCCTAGCAATGCTCCACACGGGTATTCCACAATAGAGTCGAACAATATTGCAAGTACTAGGAGTACATCACCCACTGATTCCAACAATCCCCTACGCAGTTCCTCAGCAGAGTCGAGCACTATCACACACATCATGAGCACGTCAGCCGCCGATTCCAGCCTTCAATCGCAAAAGTATTCCGCTAAGGAGTTTGGCAGTATTGCAAGCACTAAAAGCACAACAGCCATGGATCCCAGCACTCCTGCACACAAGTTTTCCTCAACAGAGTCAAACACTTTCAAAAGTACCACGAGCACAGCAGCCACTATTTCCAGTACACTTTTGCTGAGGCTTTTTGTAACGGAGTCGAGCAGTGTCGTGAGTACTAGGAGCACACCAGTTATTGATTCGACCACTCCTCCGCGCAAGCATCCAGCCATGGAGTCAAGCACTGGTACAAGCACTATGAGCACAGCAAGTGATATCAACATTGAGCAAAAATTATCTCATGCAGAGTCTAACAGTGTTGTAAGTACAACGAGCGCAGCCATTGACTTTAGTAATGCTCCACAGAGGCATGACACAACGGTGTCTAACAGTATTGCAAGTGCTAGGAGCACAGCAACCACAAGCACTGATTTCATTGATGCTTCCAGCCTTTATTCCGCAAAGGAGTTAAGCAGCATTACAAAAAGCTCAACAGCAGTTGCCATCACATCTTTTCGGAAGTACTCCGCTACAGAGGCAAGCAGTAGCACTACGAGCATAACCGCCACTGACTTCAGCGCTCACTTGGTTGAGGATTCTGAGACGGAGTCAGGCCGTGTTGCAAGCACTGTGGTCGCATCAAAAATTGATTCCACCACCCCTCAGCACAGCTTACCCAGTGCTAAGTCAAGCAGTGTTGGAGGCACTAAGAACACAGAATCCACTGAGTCCATCACTTTTTCGCCCTTCAAACACAATGTTGCACAGAATCATCCTAGAACGGAGTCCAGCAGTGTCACGAACACCATGAGCTCAACCGCCGCCGCCATAACATCTTCACGCAAATATCTCGCTACGGAGTCGATCGGTGCTGCAAGCACTACGAGCAGAGCAGCCACTGATCCCAGCAGTCGTCCACATAGGTTTTATACGGAAATGAGCGGTGTTGGAAGCACTATAAGCAGTGCAGCTATTGATTCCAGCACTCATCCGTTTACGTATTCCGATGCGGAGTCAAGCAGTACTATAAGCTTTAGCGGCACGATCGTCAGTGACAGCAGCACTCATCCTCTCAAGTATTCTGCTATGGATTCTAGCTCCACAATGGAGTCTTACAGTATCGTAAGCGCTAGAAGTACAGCAGCCACTGATATCCATAATCCTCCACACAAACCCGAGTCAAGCAATGTCACAAACACTATGAGCACATCAGTCGCTGATTCCAGCACTCCTGCGCAATATTCTAAAACAGAGTCAAACACCGTTACAAGCTTGAGCTCAGCAGCCATTAATTCCACCAGTCGTTCGATTAAGAATACCGCTAAAGAGTCTAGCAGTGTTGCGAGCACTAGGAGCACAGCAAACACTGAATCCATCAATGTTCCACTCAATCATTCCACAACGGACCCAAGCAACGTCACAAACATTATGAGCTCAGTTGTTGCCAGCACATCTCCGCAAAATCATTCCTCTATAGAGAGAAATATTAGCACTATGAGTACAAGCACTGACTCCAGCTCTCATTTACTCAAGTATTCTGCTACGGAGTCTCACCATGTTTTAACCATTGCGAGCACGACCGCGAGGGAAAGCACTTCTCTACATACTGATGATGCGACACAGCTTAATAGTGGTGCAGGCACTACGAGAACACTAGCCACAGATCGCAATACTCCTTCGCGCAAGCATTTTGCTGTGGACTCAGGCACTGCAAGCATTAAGAGCACAACTGCCACTGATTTAAACACTCATTTGCGTAGGCCTCCTGCTACGGACCCAAGCAGTATTGTGACCACTGTGAGCAGAGCAGCCGCGAGTCCTGACACTCCTGCATATAAGTATTCCTCATCCGAGTCACGCGGTGTCACAAACACTATGGATACCACAGCCGCTGACTCCACCGTTCATTCGTTTAAGCACTCTGTTACGGAGTCGAGCAGTGTTGCAACCAATACAAGCACTGCATCCATCAATAATTCGACTCCTTCTGCGAAGTCCACAGCAGTCACCGATTACAACACTATGCAAACCGTTACGGAGTCGAGCAGTGTTGCAACCAATACAAGCACTGCATCCATCAATAATTCGACTCCTTCTGCGAAGTCCACAGCAGTCACCGATTACAACACTGTGCAAACCGTTACGGAGTCGAGCAGTGTTGCAGCCAATACAAGCACTGCATTCATTAGCATTAATAATTCGACTCCTTCTGCGAAGTCCACAGCAGTCACCGATTACAACACTGTGCAAAATGTTACGGAGTCGAGCAGTGTTGCAACCAATACAAGCACTGCATCCATTAATAGTTCCACTCCGTCTGCGAAGTTCAGAGCAGTCACCGATTACAACACTGTGCAAACCGTTACGGAGTCGAGCAGTGTTGCAACCAATACAAGCACTGCATCCATTAATAATTCGACTCCTTCTGCGAAGTCCACAGCAGTCACCGACTACAACACTGTGCAAACCGTTACGGAGTCGAGCAGTGTTGCAGCCAATACAAGCACTGCATCCATTAATAATTCGACTCCTTCTGCGAAGTCCACAGCAGTCACCGATTACAACACTGTGCAAAATGTTACGGAGTCGAGCAGTGTTGCAACCAATACAAGCACTGCATCCATTAATAATTCCACTCCGTCTGCGAAGTCCACAGCAGTCACCGATTACAACACTGTGCAAACCGTTACGGAGTCGAGCAGTGTTGCAACCAATACAAGCACTGCATCCATTAATAATTCGACTCCTTCTGCGAAGTCCACAGCAGTCACCGATTACAACACTGTGCAAAATGTTACGGAGTCGAGCAGTGTTGCAACCAATACAAGCACTGCATCCATTAATAATTCGACTCCTTCTGCGAAGTCCACAGCAGTCACCGATTACAACACTGTGCAAACCGTTACGGAGTCGAGCAGTGTTGCAACCAATACAAGCACTGCATCCAGTAATAGTTCCACTCCGTCTGCGAAGTCCACAGCAGTCACCGATTTCAACACTGTGCAAACCGTTACGGAGTCGAGCAGTGTTGCAACCAATACAAGCACTGCATCCATTAATAATTCGACTCCTTCTGCGAAGTCCACAGCAGTCACCGATTACAACACTGTGCAAACCGTTACGGAGTCGAGCAGTGTTGCAACCAATACAAGCACTGCATCCATTAATAATTCGACTCCTTCTGCGAAGTCCACAGCAGTCACCGATTACAACACTGTGCAAACCGTTACGGAGTCGAGCAGTGTTGCAGCCAATACAAGCACTGCATCCATTAATAATTCGACTCCTTCTGCGAAGTCCACAGCAGTCACCGATTACAACATTCTGCAAACCGTTACGGAGCCGAGCAGTGTTGCAACCAATACAAGCACTGCATCCATTAATAATTCCACTCCTTCTGCGAAGTCCACAGCAGTCACCGATTACAACATTCTGCAAACCGTTACGGAGCCGAGCAGTGTTGCAACCAATACAAGCACTGCATCCATTAATAATTCCACTCCTTCTGCGAAGTCCACAGCAGTCACCGATTACAACACTGTGCCAACTGTTACGGAGTCGAGCAGTGTTGCAACCAATACAAGCACTGCATCCATTAATAGTTCCACTCCTTCTGCAAAGTCCACAGCAGTCACCGATTACAACATTCTGCAAACCGTTACGGAGCCGAGCAGTGTTGCAACCAATACAAGCACTGCATCCATTAATAATTCCACTCCTTCTGCGAAGTCCACAGCAGTCACCGATTACAACATTCTGCAAACCGTTACGGAGCCGAGCAGTGTTGCAACCAATACAAGCACTGCATCCATTAATAATTCCACTCCGTCTGCGAAGTCCACAGCAGTCACCGATTACAACATTCTGCAAACCGTTACGGAGCCGAGCAGTGTTGCAACCAATACAAGCACTGCATCCATTAATAATTCCACTCCTTCTGCGAAGTCCACAGCAGTCACCGATTACAACACTCTGCAAACCGTTACGGAGCCGAGCAGTGTTGCAACCAATACAAGCACTGCATCCATTAATAATTCCACTCCTTCTGCGAAGTCCACAGCAGTCACCGATTACAACATTCTGCAAACCGTTACGGAGCCGAGCAGTGTTGCAACCAATACAAGCACTGCATCCATTAATAATTCCACTCCGTCTGCGAAGTCCACAGCAGTCACCGATTACAACATTCTGCAAACCGTTACGGAGCCGAGCAGTGTTGCAACCAATACAAGCACTGCATCCATTAATAATTCCACTCCTTCTGCGAAGTCCACAGCAGTCACCGATTACAACATTCTGCAAACCGTTACGGAGCCGAGCAGTGTTGCAACCAATACAAGCACTGCATCCATTAATAATTCCACTCCTTCTGCGAAGTCCACAGCAGTCACCGATTACAACATTCTGCAAACCGTTACGGAGCCGAGCAGTGTTGCAACCAATACAAGCACTGCATCCATTAATAATTCCACTCCTTCTGCGAAGTCCACAGCAGTCACCGATTACAACACTCTGCAAACCGTTACGGAGCCGAGCAGTATTGCGAGCTCTGTGAGCACAATCGCCACTGATTTCAGTACTTTTTCGCCTAAGTACTCCGCTGAAGAGCCACGCACTGATGCGAGCATTACGAGCACAGTCTCCACTGATTTAGACTCTCATTCAATTATTTGGCGTTCCGCTACTGAATCGAGCATTGTTGTAACCACTGCGAGTACAGCAACAACGACTCCTGACATTCCTTCTCGCAAGTATTCTGCCACAGAGACGATCAGTTTTGCAAACACTACGGGCTCAGCGCCCACAGATCTTAACTTTTTTGCACAAAAGTATATTATAACAGAGTCAAGCAGTCTCACAAGCACTGTGAGCACAACAGCAGCTGCCATCGCATCTCCGCGCAAATTTACCGTTAGGGAGTCAAGCGGTGAAGTAAGTCCTGTAAGCACAGCTGCCACTAATGCCGCCAATCCTTCATACAGTTATTTCGCGACAGGGCCTAGCAGTGTTGTAACCATTGCGAGCACAGCTGCCACGAGTCGTACCACTCCTCCTCACACGTATTTTGCTAAGGAGACGAGCAGTTCTGCAAACACTGCGGGTACAACAGAATTCACTGCTTCGATTAGTCATTCTCCTGGTGAGACTAGCCTTGTAACCACTACGAATAATGCAGCCATCGATACTGCAGCTTTCCCACAAAGTTATTTCGCATTGGAGTCAAAGAATGCTGAAACCACAATGAGCACAACAGCCACCCCTACCACTCCGCTTGGGAATGCTGCTGCGGATTCTAGCGGTGTAAAAGTAGGGGCATAATAGCCACAAACTTCACCACTCCCAACACCCCTGCAAAGTCCCATCCAAGCTGAGTGGAGTTCACAACAACTTCTCCATAGAAAAACTACAAAAATTTCCAAGTTCCATTGAGTAGTCTAAAAACCTGAGATTGAAGGATTGAGCAACCTAACAAACCTGTGCGGCATAGCAAGATTGAAATCCTAATTGTGAAGAACCCTCCACATCATTGGGTAAGAGCGAAAAGCTCATTACCACCGTTTTGCCTCCGCATTTTGTTTCAGATAGTTTTGGCTCGCATTTGCGAGCGTGTTACCTCGAAACGATCGAAGAATTGCGCAGTTCGTCATTCATTTTCAACAAGTAACGCTAGTGCGTGTGGCAGAGTTTAGGCCGCACATTCTTAATCGGGTCACCACCTATTCGTTACCCGTGCTTTCCACTTAATCCAAGCAGAGCATTCGCGCATATGCTAACGCGCTTCCTTTTTGGATCAGCGAAACGCCAGCTTCAGAAAGTTCGAACGCGTATCTGAGAAACTTCACGATTGATAATAGGTGCACTTGACTTACTTAATCTTTGTAAACCTTAGTTACAATGCTGTTATTTATTTGCAAAGTTCGTTTCGCACACTTCATCTATTGTTGTAAATTACAGCAGCCAACTGTAGCATTTTTTCTTATTCTTTTCCTTAAGAAGATGTTTCGAATCGAAATGTATCTACCTATAAGCTATCACATTAATGGCAACGGCAATGCGACATTAATAAGAGCTTATACAAAATTGTTTGTATTGATAGCCTTCAAGGGTTATACAGCACCAAGGGAAACATAGTAATTCAATAGACAGAGTTTGCGAGTAATTAGACGTCATTTAGAACGGCGATCGTGCCGTAAATCACATGATATAGCTGCTGATTCTCTTGACAACTTTCAGAAAGGTCACAACAATTAGAACTGCAAAAGTTGCAACCCTTAGTACATGCGTTACGTGACTGCCTCAACTCTGCATACTTGGAGTGAACGTAAATTTAGGACATTATTTTTGATCAGCACGAAACTAAAAGGTTTAAGAAGTTAACAAACGTCTGAAAAGTGAGGTAGAAGCGTAAAAGCAGCTGAAAAGAGGAGAAGAAAAAAAATTTTGTGATTAATCAATGTGCATTTCAACATCTTACAGTGTAGGGACTCTGCCCCCCCCCCCCAACTTCTTTTTTGACATCTCGTTATGCTAATGCTGGGATACGAAGTGTTGTCATTAGATAAATCACCATTCCGCATCGCTTTTTATTTCCTTTGACCGCTTCTATATAAAGAAGTTAGTTTGGCAAAGCCGGTAAAGTTGATGAATGCAATTGATAAAAGCAATCAATAACTTTGATAATGTAATATACTCGTAATACATTCGTATTTGTGCTATGTTCGTGATTTGCATGCTTACTAACCTTAACACCAAGTCGACTACTGAGCTCAGAATTTGCTGGAAAAAAGTAGATGGACGTCGATTAAAGCCAAAAGTAGCCTTTAGTTCCTCTCCGCCCTGGAGAGTGCATGTGCAAAATTTAGATCGAATCCGTTCATAATTGGGTTTTCGTTTGCCGCATACTAACAGTCACAATGCAGAAAAACACCATTGATCTTTTTGATAAAAGAACCTATCCATAATGATCATAAAAACTTAGTGTAGAAAAACAAATCATACTATCCAAATAAAGACCGCAATCCAAAAAAGGAACAGCAAGCCTGTCCGTCTATATACATAAATCGATACGTTTTTCAGCAACTCTTGAGCTGGAGAACGGGGGGTAGCACGAGTAAAATTCAGCATGCAAATTACCGGACGCAGTACTCATTTTCAATTTTGATCTTTTTTGTTGATTCTTCTATTTTCCAAATAATAAATCGAACTGAGAGGATAAGAACTTAAAAGGGTAAGTGCAAATGCAGATTGCTGCAATCACAGCTACTTACAATTAAACCTGTGTGCATGTAATTTGCAGCGGCGATTGGAGAATCTTCTACGCTACGAAAACTTTCGTGCATACGGTCCTCAAAGGTCTATCAAATTTTCATCAATTATGGAGAGCTAGCGCTTGCACCAGTAAGTGAAGCGAGCGATTACGAAATTGATTCATTGAATAATAGGAACATTCAGCAGCGAAAGAAACTGCATTCTCGGTGATCCCCTGGGGATCCTCAGGGAATCCATCAGTCATATTCACAAAACCTCTCAAACAGTTGTCTATGAGGATTTCTTTGCATCAAAACTCTTTTGTCTCGCGGCTAAGGAGAATAATCTATTTGCAATCGCCCAACTTCATCGAAATCCTCTTTCACACATTATGTCATAGTCGTGATTAAGCGTGCGAAAGAACCCTTCACAAAGTTGCGAATTTCAAACTTGATACACATAGTATACACAGCTACTATTATCCTGGGAAAGTGCTCTTGCAATGAGATTCTCAAGCAAGGCCCACTGATCTTAAAGGCAGCGTTCCCAAAAAGATAGGTGTCGGGTTTTCGTGGCGATGTTAAAGTAGACCCTCTACCGAAACGGCGACTGAAGTTCGGAGCGAAAGGGTCTACCAAGCCTGAAACTTGCTCCGAAAGCGGCCCGGATCTTACGGTAGGCCCGAACGCCACCCACACAGCGATTTCGAACTGCAACGACAGAGCACGCATAGCGCACACAGTCATAAGCGCAGGGTCCCGCAACGACTCTGCGTCTCTACCTTGCAGGGGGGGGGGGAATTTGTAGAATTCGTAGACCCCCTTTCGCGCTGTAAACTTCTGTCGTCGCTTAGTTAGGTGGTCTACTATTACATTACTACCAGAGCCAGTACCCCCAATCCGGTGGAACGCGCATTTAACAGATCAGAATTCAACCAGATTCGTGATTTTGACTTCCTACCCTACACCCATTATAATCAGAAAATGAAGTTTTATTGGATATAGGGCGTGATATCCTTGATCAGTATGTTAGATAACCCTTGTGACGAAGTTTGGGCGGAATCCACGGTTTTGAAATTTTGGGCACGAAAGCCAAGTCGTAAATAGGCTTTTTTGGAATACTCTAAAGATAACGTAAGATAAAGTTATAGATTGTAACGAAGTTTTTGCTGGATAAATGTATTCAGTTCACTTAGCATTCAAAAAATTCGCGTTTTAGCAGTCTGAACCAATCTCCTGAGGTCCAGAATTGATGTAAAAATGCAAAAGCAATTTTAGTACAGAGGAATTGAACCCAGGACTTTACGCTACAGAGAGGAAGCACTTACCGCCAGATTAAGACTACACACTGAAAATGCCTTCAGAGCCTATATCCCTCGGCGCTCGTTGCTAAAATTTTGAACCCTCATAACTTGCATGCTACTTGTTTTACTTTCCTTCCATTACCTATAGGATTTTACGCTCCACTCGACAAACCTATACAATTATACGCTCTACTGTACGTCAGTTCAATTGTTAACAACTTATTTCTTGAAACTGTCTTTTGACTGTAGTCACACTTACTTGTTGCTCTATTTTTCAATTAGCTCAACACTTTCTTTACCCTTCAACTTCATCCTATTTCATAATAGACTACTATAATATACCATGCTACAACGATATATACTTACATTACATTCCATTCCAGGCTGGCTTAACTTAGCTTCCTTCTTTTTTTCTTTCCTTCTTCTACGCTTGCGATCTTCCTTTACTGCTGGTGAGTTCCGGGAGGATCGCATTTCTACCTAGTTTTCCGCATAGTCATAGGAGCGAAAAGAGAGTTAGGTTATCGCTTCCTTCTTCCTTCATTTGTTAATAAAAGCGGCATGGTATTGAATTAATTTGGTATGCCATTCCCATACACGCGTTTCGGTATGCATCTCATTTCGGATGGCCACCTCGGTGCCGACAAACATGTAATGTGAAGATGATGTTGCTATTCTCTAGGATATGCTTACAAGGGATGGTCATGCGGATGCATGCATTAACATCCCGCCGGAAAGGGGGCAGCTCAAAAGATTGCTTCATGCCTTGAAACTCCGAACTTCTGGATTTCCCACTAACACCCCATCCGTAAGTATTCCTACCATCCTTAAGGGCCGCCTTAGAGTGAAGGACATCAGAAATACTTGGCTTTATGCACTGAAGTTGATCGAAATGTAAACAACTTGCTATGCTCATGACTTGGCTGTGCTCATGACGGTTTGATGTTGAAGGCACAAGAATCTAGGGAACTATTCAGCTGAAAATTGAACTTTGCGAATTGACAAGGTGTGCTGTTTATGAATGCATAGCTGATAGATCCTCTTCTACTATAGATGTTGGGGACACCATTACTGTTTTTGCTTTTTTTCTGCCCTGGCACTGTACGTCGAAAAATGAAACAGTTTAAAGTCTTGTTGTCGAATTGTGGCTCCAATCAAATTAACTTCTTTAAAGCTTAAAAAGGTTTTTTTTCAATAGTTTTGTATTGGCTCTGATGTAAAAGGGTTTTCTCGCTATTTGGTTAGCAACAAGATTCTTCTACCAATAGCCTCATAAAGGGCAATGAGGCGCTAACAGTGATACATATTTGTAACGTAGTCTTCATCCCGTGAGTTATATGAAACGTCCCCCTCCCCCCATGACGCTTTGATCTAGGGAACTAACTTGGCCTCTGCCACTTTGTGAGCTCTGCATACTTACAATGAAGGGATTATATATGTGACATTTTTGTTTAGATGGCCCCCTTGTATAGACTTAGGAGCGTTACTAACGGACGACTAAAAAAAGCTGATCGCTATACCCCTGCTTGAATATTTACGGAAATGCACTAACAAAGAAGGTTGAAAATTTCAAGAATTTTTTTTGAGATGACCCTACTCGTCGTAGCCGCACGGAATCCTAGATGTCCACTAATGTGTAGGATGCAATTGTTCCTGGAGGGTACTGTGCATCTGCTTGAATTCCACGTAGGACTAAAACCTCAGAGATTGGTCGCTTGTGTGTACTTTTGTTTTTTATGCAACTTTTTTGTGGTAAAGTGATATACGA